AAGATGTACAGGTTCGTAAGTGCTTGCGTAACTGCTTCGTGAATCTGGACCCAGTAATCTCCAGTACAATTACGGACGCTGAAGCCGTTCTTACACTATAATCCGGATTCATCCAGCCACTATGTCCACGTATCCGCCGGATTGTCGCCAAAGATCGAGCTGTTTCGTAAGCGGTGATAACAATTCTAGCCATAAGAGGAAGATATATGCCTCCTTGTGTCTCACACAACTTGAATACTCCCAAACACTTTCCTGTCGCAGCACTTACGAGAGGGCAGCACTTACGAGAGGACAGCACTTACGAGAGCGCAGCCCCGTCCTCGCTGGCGGCCCTGTCCGTAAGCGAAAGTAAATACGGGTTCAGAAAGCCGGATAAACCGCGCTGGCCGGGTTCAGAAAGCCGGATAAACCGCGCTGGCCGGGTTCAGAAAGCCGGATAAACCGCGCTGGCCGGGTTTAGAAAGCCGGATAAACCGCGCTGGCCGGGTTTAGAAAGCCGGATAAACCGTGCTGGCCGGCTTTAAAAAGCCGGATAAACCGCTCTAGCCGGGTTCAGAAAGCCGGTTAACCGCTCATGACAACTTAAGGACCAGTCATTGCTCGTCATAATTAGTTTCGACAATTCACGCCTTCTCCATATACGATTCCTGATAGTTTGAAAGTATGTAATATATATGTAGTTCTGGGGGTAGACTTCTCCGTTTTCTATGTGTTCGTATATAGCCTTGAAATTCCGTACTTTGGAATACATGCGTTATGAGGGGAGTAGATTCATGCGTTGTGAGTAAGGAGGGCGCATGTATTATGAGAGAAGGCGGTGCATGCTTTATGAGGGATGGGAGCGCATGCGTAGTGATGAGGGAGCGACAAAAAGGTCAGCTATCCAAGTGTGAGGAGGGAGATGGATGTCCGATAATGCAATATATTCTGCTTTCTTCCAATCGGTTTCATCTTTAACGTATCGTGAGGCACATCCCCCTCCCTTTCCCCCTTATCTCCCCCTTTCTCCCCTTACCCCCCTCTTCCTCTCCCACTCTATCCTCCTCGTCCCCTTTCTATCCGCTTCCTCCGTCCGTCCGCTTGCAGTTGACATAGAAAATAAATTTTTGATTGAACTCTGGATTTGTATGTTTGTGGTGGATTTTTAATAACATGTGTGACGGTATTTTACGCGAGCTCTTGAGTAATGATGTGTTACGCGAGCTCTTGCGTAATGGCGTGTTACGCGAGCTCTTGCGTAATGATGTGTTACGCGAGCTCTTGCGTAATGACGAGTTACGTGAGCTCTTGCGTAATGGCGTGTTACGTGAGCTCTTGCGTAATGTCGAGTTACGTGAGCTCTTACGTAATGACGTGTTACGCGAGCTCTTGCGTAATGACGAGTTACGTGAGCTCTTGAGTAATGTCGAGTTACGCGAACTCTTGCGTAATGTCGAGTTACGCGAACTCTTGCGTAATGACGAGTTACGCGAACTCTTGCGTAATGACGAGTTACGCGAACTCTTGCGTAATGACGAGTTACGCGAACTCTTGCGTATCGTAAATTATGATCTACGATCATAAGCTCTTATGATCTAAATCTGATCTAAGAAGCCAGTTCTGGTCGTTATGACCTGACTTACGGAGCGCGAGGGATAAACTTTACGTTTCTTATCGGACACCGGTCAAGATGTTTCGGACATCTTGACCGGTGTTCATCACTGTTCCCTTCAGTCCCACGCAGGATAGATGTTTCGACCCAGTGACGAGGCCACGAAGGTGGAGGTAATACAACCATCTTGTAGTGTGGTAGGACCGTCTTGTAGTGTGGTAGGACTGTCTTGTAGTGTGGTAGGACCGTCTTGTAGTGTGGTAGGGCCATCTTGTAGTGTGGTAGGACTGTCTTGTAGTGTGGTAGGACTGTCTTGTAGTGTGGTAGGACCGTCTTGTAGTGTGGTAGGACTGTCTTGTAGTGTGGTAGGACTGTCTTGTAGTGTGGTAGGACCGTCTTGTAGTGTGGTAGGACTGTCTTGTAGTGTGGTAGGACCGTCTTGTAGTGTGGTAGGACTGTCTTGTAGTGTGGTAGGACTGTCTTGTAGTGTGGTAGGACCGTCTTGTAGTGTGGTAGGACTGTCTTGTAGTGTGGTAGGACCGTCTTGTAGTGTGGTAGGACTGTCTTGTAGTGTGGTAGGACTGTCTTGTAGTGTGGTAGGACCAGTGGATCTTAATTACTGCAGGTTGTCCCCCCCCCCCCTCATTCTGGGGGTGTACTGGTAGATAAAATGAGTCGACCAGTAGGAAACCAGGCCAACAGAATAGTAACCAGTAGTCTCTGAACACGTGACGGAAAAACAGCTGTTACCTCACAACAGCTGTTACCTCACAACAGCTGTTGTCTCACAACAGCTGGTACCTCACAACAGCTGTTACCTCACAACAGCTGTTGTCTCACAACAGCTGTTACCTCACAACAGCTGTTACCTCACAACAGCTGTTACCTCACAACAGCTGTTACCTCACAACAGCTGTTACCTCACAACAGCTGTTACCTCACAACAGCTGTTGTCTCACAACAGCTGTTACCTCACAACAGCTGGTACCTCACAACAGCTGTTACCTCACAACAGCTGTTACCTCACAACAGCTGTTACCTCACAACAGCTGACGCCACTAATGACACAACCGCCTCACAACCGCTCGTCTTAATTTGATCGTTTAATAATCCTAATTGCTTCCGGGAACTGTTGATAAGGATAAAAATATATGATACCAGGAAGGGATGTTAGTGATTTGCTGTTCTTGTTAGTATATTTGTTCTTTGTTATTAGTATACCTGTTCTTTGGTGTTGTTAGTATACCTGTTCTTTGGTGTTGTTAGTATACCTGTTCTTTGGTGTTGTTAGTATACCTGTTCTTTGGTGTTGTTAGTATACCTGTTCTTTGGTGTTGTTAGTATACCTGTTCTTTGGTGTTGTTAGTATACCTGTTCTTTGGTGTTGTTAGTATACCTGTTCTTTGGTGTTGTTAGTATACCTGTTCTTTGGTGTTGTTAGTATACCTGTTCTTTGGTGTTGTTAGTATACCTGTTCTTTGGTGTTGTTAGTATACCTGTTCTTTGGTGTTGTTAGTATACCTGTTCTTTGGTGTTGTTAGTTTACCTGTTCTTTGGTGTTGTTAGTATACCTGTTCTTTGTTATACTCCTGGACCAGCAGCGTTACTGGTATACTCCAGTGTTGGTATACACTATTGTATTAGAAACCACTACTCTAGAAACCCTTAAGAGTGAGAGGTAACAAGCCACAAGTATGGATCAATAAACCTATAGTTTCCTGCATTCTTGTATGCTGTTCCTCCCAAGTTTAGTTCAATTTTATATTTACATTTTTTTTCTTCTCAATTTACGGTAATAACAAAAGGTGATGAACGTGGCTAATTATTACGTCTCTTAAGCTGGAATTAATAACTTAACGAGGCAGCGAGGAAAGCCGGAAATTAATCCGCTAATGAGATGAGATAATTTTCAGTTGAAGATTAGTTTTGTGTATTATTTGTGGAGTATTTGAAGGAAAAATACAACAGCCAGCGGTCGTCTTGAAGATAATACAATATTTGCCAAATAAAGTATATTACTGGAATAAAATTGTAGTGAATTTATTGATAATTTAATTTTGATCAGATGAGATCGACTCTAGATCTTATTAGATAAATTGATCTCTTAGATAATTGTGGTTGTTTCAGATTTAGCTACTCTGAATGAAGTGTCCATGTAGCACGGGCTATGGTGAGCCCGTGCCTCTAGATAAATAGATCAGGAGAGTGACGTGTATGGGATGGTGAGATGGGGGTGAGGGGAAGTTAAAATGTCACCATACAACCAGTTGTATGGTGATACGTTCCTCACTTGAGCCTATGTATTCATGCCCAAACACTTGGGGTGGACGGTAGAGCGACGGTCTCGCTTCATGCAGGTCGGTGTTCAATCTCCATATTGGCGCACAGGAACTTTTCCTTGCACTATTATGAAGACCTCCTGGAACCTTCAGTTAAGATATTCACACACTTCTGTGTCGAGCTCAGTGAAAGCGTCCTGTCCTACAACCCCCCCCCTCACTTTTAGATCACGTGTTCTTTAACTGGTCTCTACTGAGCACCTGAGATAATACCAAGACGGATGTCTAGTGAGCGCTTGAGCGTGTGTACCAACTGCTCAGTACTGAGCACCAGGATCTTCTTCTTGAGGTTATCTTAAGATGATTTCGGGGCTTTAGTGTCCCGCGGCCCGGTCCTCAACCAGGCCTCCACCCCCAGGAAGCAGCCCGTGACAGCTGACTAACACCCAGGTACCTATTTTACTGCTAGGTAACAGGGGCATAGGGTGAAAGAAACTCTGCCCATTGTTTCTTGCCGGCACCCGGGATCGAACTCGGGACCACAGGATCACAAGTCCAGCGTGCTGTCCGCTCGGCCGACCGGCTCCCAATACGTTAGGATTAGGATACACTATTGGATACGTACAGTGTACGAACAAGATAAAGAAAAAACACGCTATTTCTGAGTAATGTTGTGTTGAACCTTCGTGAACCACGCCAGCTGGTTCCAGGTTTGGCTACACCTGCGGGCCCCACGAGAGGACCACGTGAGCCACACCTGGGTCCCCACGTGAGCCACACCTGAAGGGCGTGAGCACCTCACCTCCCACACACCTGTCAGTCACCTGGCCTCAAACACTAGTCTTCCCAGTGTTGCCGAATTTGTTGAATGTTGAAGAAGTTTTGAGTTGCACCACGTCTTCACCTAGTTGTGCTTGCGGGGGGGGGGGGGTTGAGCTCTGGCTCTTTGGTCCCGCCTCTCAGCCGTCAATCAACTGGTGTACAGATTCCTGAGCCTATTGGGCTCTATCATATCTACACTTGAAGCTGTGTATGGAGTCAGCCTCCACCACATGTGCTCCAGCATGTCCTGTGCTCCACAGGACATGCTGGAGCACATGTACTGTGTCATGAACGTCCCGTGTTGCAGGATGATGGTGTGCAGGCAGGTTGCCAGCTCGCCTTGTGTGCTGAGCAGTGCCCAGTATGTTCTAGTGTTCTTTAAGGGTGTTCTAGTGTTCTCTAAGGGTGTTCTAGTGTTCTCTAAGGGTGTTCTAGTGTTCTGTAAGGGTGTTCTAGTGTTCTTTAAGGGTGTTATAGTGTTCTCTAAGGGTGTTATAGAGTTCTTTAAGGGTGTTCTAGTGTTCTTTAAGGGTGTTATAGTGTTCTCTAAGGGTGTTATAGAGTTCTTTAAGGGTGTTATAGTGTTCTTTAAGGGTGTTATAGTGTTCCCTAAGGCTGTTATAGTGTTCTCTAAGGGTATTATAGTGTTCTCTAAGGGTGTTATATTGTTCTCTAAGGGGTGTTATATTGTTCTCTAA